GGTGAAGAACAATCTGAATTCGAAGTAGGCCAGTAACTCACTGAAAGTAATAAATTTGCCCTAAGCAAAGACCTCAAGGGCTATCCTAGTCTTTGGGGCGCCTCGTTTGTCCGTTCCAAACAAGCGGCAAAACAGACAAAAGGCTTGGAAGAACTATTGCAGAAATACAACTTTTCGCCTAGCTATCTATTACAACAACAAAACTTTATTTCGTTCTGAAACATCACTGAGTTTCATACTGAGAGAACTTCACTGGCATGGAAAATTAAGAAAATAACGGCTGGAAGGCGCCATCTTTATTTGCACACGATTGACCAATGAAAACGTATTCTCTATTTTCCTATTGCCCATAATTCACTCTTTTGCCCCCCAAATTTTGAATAAACTAATTTGAAGTTCTCTTGGGAATACGCAGACCTCCCAAGAGAATTTCACATCAGTAGTTAATGCAAAATTTGCGGGCACACAGAGTGAATTATGGACAATTGTTTAATAGAGAATAGAATTCGCAGACTTGCAACACTGTATTTTGCTGCAAGACAAGTTGGTCACAAACGTGGTCATACGCGCAACAGAGGATTGCAACTTGCAATGTAACAATGTTGCAAGACAAGTTGAAGAAAAATGTTGCCCGTATTACCGGACCTTTATTTACATGCGACGCTGTGAAGGGAAACATTACGTTTAACAAGGTTGGTTTTTGGCCCAAAATGTCCTTTATGTAACAAAAATCGATGTTATTGAAAATTGCAAACGTACGGCTTAAAAAAAATTGACCTGGGTCCGGGTGGACAAAGCCGGACCGCTGGAGCGCGCGAGATTAGCCAATAAGATTGAAGGATTTAAGAAACCGGACCACTGAGAGGCTGGAAGAAAAAACAAGGTGTAGTATCGCAACACAGAATGCGATACAAAGAAGCGGCTGACTCAGCGACAGCACTCTCGAAAGACTTAGTAATGTATTTCTACCGTTAAATTTTGTACAAGCACTTCATTCCACAGGTTCGGACTACGGATAATTCTGCTTTTTCGTTGAATGCATGAGTCATGCTGAAACGTGGATTTCAAAAGTTGTATCGTGTTTATTAAAATGCTTGTTATTAATTGGTGAATCGCATTTACATTTTAAAGCTGCTAACCCATGTTCAACGGTACTGTTTGAAGCCACCAACAAAATCGCACAGAATAGCAGTAGACTGCAAAACAACCGTATTTTTGCGTTGGTCATGAATGCGAACGTTTGGCTTTCATCTTTCCGCTATTACCGGTATATACTGTACTCACCGTGACAATCATGTTGTCATTTCTTTTTGTGTGTGTGTGTGTGTGACATGTAAAAGATAGACCAGATTAGAGTTGGTACAAAGTGATCGGGATTTGTGAACTTGGATTCATGAAAAGTGGATCTGTCAATCGGAGTTGTAGTCAGAAGCGCAGAGGCGTTGTGAACTAGTGAATTCTGCTCATGACTCTGTCACTATGATCTAGCAGGAATCGAACGAACTGAACCAATCACAATGCATCAAAACGAGCTTTGTAGAGCTCTATTCTACCACTGAATTACACTTTACGCCGAGATAACGACTCCTAGTTTTGATTTTCACTGAGTCATAAGTGCTATTACGACGTCGCTTAATGAAACCAAGCCCAGAAAGGTGTTTTGGTAGGACATGAACTTGTTCATTAACCGTCGATTTATAAAATTGGATTTGCAAACATTGATTTTTACCACCCGGCCAATGTTTTCCAAATCGATTCTAGTTGCAAATTTTACAACATGCCACGTTGTACAGTGATCGGAATGTTTAGGTTACTGTTTTTATTGCTCAGATTTGCCAGTAGATTTTAATCAAATTTCATAACGTAGATAAACAAGACGTATCAAGTGTTGTATCTAACTTTTGAAAGAGGTTTAACTTGTAGAATGTCGCAGGTTTTCTGGAGAAATGCCTCTCCACATAGAGGGAAATGGTTAAGAACCCATTAAACATCGAAGAAGCAAACACTGAAACAGGCTAAGATTTATGTTGGAAGGTCCTTGACCCTGCCCATCTTTTCAGTTTTATGCTCAATGACTGCACGAATTACATAATCGAAATGCTTTTAAGTTGGCTAGTTGTATGAGCACACATAACCACCTTTTGTATTTTGCCAGGTTTTGTACAGGGTCAACCCCCAAAATAACCAACAAGAACATACAAGAAAGAACTTCAGTTTGCCAGGTTTCATAACCATGCCCCTCTATTAACTATGCTTTCCTTAAGGATTCTTCAGTGTTTTGGTGTGTGATACTTTGTCTCGTTAATTTCACGCTCGGGGAACAATGAGGGTCTCGGAGAAATGCGGGGCCAGTCATTAAAGAGCCCTAGTCAGCCATACTTTTTTTTTGTTTATATGCAAGAGTTTGGCTACTACATTTTACTCCGATGTGCAAACGAAGGAACTCACTGTGAAAGTACTAAAGATAATTAAACATACTTTCTGGAACACCATTCACAGTAAAGCCATAATATTTTGCGTCTCCATGCAATATCAATACCTTCGATGGCATCGACAATGGAAGAGGCTGACTAGGGTCCTTTAGTGCTTAATTATCTATGTGTGGAAAAACAAGAGAGAGCGTCAATTTTCAAGCGGGAGCTTTCACTGGCGCAAATGTAACCATTCAAAATGATAAAGATTGTATTAGTGTTTAATTGAAAGCTTAGTTTCATTTTGTATTTTGCATCACTTTCATGATGTATTTGTCGGAAATTTTCTTTGGAGGAAATTATAGTTGTGCTTTGTTAAGGTATGTTTCTTTGTTTGTTAGTTTGTTTTTATCCCCCTGGTGAATAATGTCTAATCTTCAAGGAAAAATAGTATGTTTTGTTTTCCCTCAAGTTTTGATGTTTCCCCGACTTTGTCTCTAGAAACAGCGAGACTTGGGAAAACCAAACTTATCATTTCTCTTTGGGCCAGACGTGGAGTGGATACTTTCATTAACCGATTCCTTTGATTTCAAAGAAACATCCGCTGGACGGAAAGGCTTAAGAAAAGAGCAACCAAGCCAACTGTTTGTGTCTACAATAAGCTGGGAAAACCTCGCTAAACTCGTATTGAGTAAAATCCCGGCTAGGGTGGGAAAAACCTCATATAGTGAAAGTTGGCAGGTTTGGTCCGTCATAATTACATCACCTTAGGTACTCGGCGAAAACTTTCTCTGAGGGCAGAACGTGCAGATATTGATATTGTTTACTGCACAGGTTAACAAAGCTCAGTTTCCCTTTTTACTACCACTGAGAAAATAGAAATGATAAATTGGACCTTGCTATAATGTGAAAAATAAGAGCTCTTGTGTTTTTCATTCTTAATCCTCTATTTTAATGCAGTTTGAATCCGTTTGGTGCATGTCAGATTAAGGGAAGTGAGAGCTAAATCCCCTAAGAGAAGTAAAAATCTACAAAACTCTTATCAAATAGGTCTTTCTAATTGAGCAAATGATTGTCCAACAAGCATGAGTTGGGTGTATTGACGTGTCCCTATACACAGTGTCCAACTAGTTCCCACAAGTAAGGTGTTTTGCCATGTGTACCCATAAGTACTGTCTCAAGATGCAATCCCCACAAGTCGGGTGTGTAGCTCTGTGTGCCCATAAGTACTGTCCAGACCACAGTCCCCGCAAGTAGGCAAAGTTCGCAATGTAAAGTGTCCCCACAAAAAATATTGGCCTTTTTCTAATTTCGACCAGATGTTTTAAGAGGCCAAGAAGTCAGCTAATAAATGCCCCAGTATCATTTGGATAACTGCTGTGGAAAAGGGTGTCCTCGCAACTAGGGTCTGGAAATATGGTCCTCACAAGAATGCAGGGGTGCGTATGTGTGGATTCACCAGTGTTCGCTGTGGACCCCTCGTAACGAACAGTCGCTGTTAGTGTGAGGCGCATTCCGAGCTCACTTGACCGATGAAGTGAAAGCAGAACTCAACCGGTGGATGTAGCAGTTATCCCTGGAGGCCTGACCCCTGTTTTGCAGCCATTAGACAAGTGCTTGACGAGGTTGAACAAGACGAAGTACCACGAGAAATGGAACGTTCATTGCCCGCACCCACCACAGTCAATATTGATGCCACTGATCTGTACAGTGAGTGGAAACACTGGAGTAGTGCGTTTGAGATCTACTCGATAGCATCTGACCTACAGAAAAAGGACGATGCAGTTCAGCAAGCCACATGCTGCATTGCCTTGGCCCCGCAGTTCAATGCATTTTCAACACGCTCCCTGGCCAACACAAGAGCCTTGAAGAAGCCAAGACTGCCTTGAATGGGTACTTTGCCCCCAAATGGAACTTGGTAGCAGAACGCTGCAAATTCAGGTCGAGAGCGCAGAAGGCAGACGAGTCGTTCGATGCGTACCTGACAAGCCTTCGAGAGCTGGTAAAATCCTGCGACTTTGGCACGTTGGAAGAGGAGATGATAAGAGACCAAATTGCCGAGAAGTGGTCTTCCCAAACCTTAAAGCAGAAACTGCTCCAGCAAGAAGACCTTCACTTGTCAAAAACCGTGAGAATTGCGTGGAATGCAGAAACGGCCATGCAAGCAGCACGATTGTTCTCTCAAGGCACCAGAGAAAACATGATCCAGATCGACCACGTGCATGCTTCTTGGGGATCACAAGCAAAAACTTTCAGCTGCTACAGATGTGGTGGAACAGACAGACATGCTCCTGACGAATGTGGCGCGATCAAGTCCAGGTATAATAAGTGCAAAAAAGTCGGACACTTGCAGAGGGTTTGCCGTTCAAAGTCCAAAGCTGACCAAAGGAAAGGCAAGAAAGGAAAAGAAAAGAACCCACCCATGAAGGTCCGCAGCTTGAATTGGAAACCTGGCACAGACTGGCTTGAAAACAGCTCAGATGACGAGAGTGAAGAACCCGTACTCTCCTCAACAATGGTGACAGTTCCATCACAGTGAGGATTAATGGAAAAAGATCAAAATGATCGTCGACACTGGTAGTAAGTACGACACAATATCTTCAGAGTAGCAAAGGACGCAATTTAAGAGCTACGAACTGAGTCAAACTCAAAAGCGTTTTACTGTGTATGGACAAAAAGATCCATTAAAGTGTAAGGGTTACTTTAACGCTGCCATTAAGGTAGGCGACAAAACCGTCAATTCAAGGATTTATGTAATTGAGGGTAATGCAGAATCATTACTTGGACGAGACTACAGTTTTAATTTAGGAATACTTATCCAAGTAAATACAGTTGGTCAGAATAGTAATCAAAATGAGCTGGATTCATTGCTCAAGGAGTACCATGACGTTTTCCAAGGAATAGGAAAAGATACTGATTTTGAACATAAAATTACTATTGACCCAGAGGTCAAACCTGTAAGTCAACAGCTAAGACGCATGCCTGTCTATCAAATTGAAGCTGTGAATAATAAACTTGACAGGATGTTAGAGCAAGATATTATTGAAGAGGTCACTGAAGCAAGTCCCTGGGTTTCCAATTTAGTAATTGTTCCTAAGAAGTGGGGCGATGTAAGGGTATCTTGCAACCTTAGAGAAGTTAATAAGGCCGTAATTAGGGAACGTTATGTTTTACCTAAGATAGACCATTCTTAACATGCTATGCGCGGCTGTAAGTATTTTGCAAAGATCTATGCCAAGAGCAGATTCTTTCAGCTTACGTTGGCTGAAGAGTCGCGTTACGTTACCACGTTAATTACGCCTCGTTGTTGTTATAGGTTCAAGCGAACTCCCTTCGGTCTCAGTGATGGGAGCGAAGCTTTTCAAAAGATGATGGACAAGATCTTGTTTGGCATTGAAGGTGTCCGCATTTCAATTGATGATGTAATTATCTATGCCAAAACCATGACCGAACTTCTAAAGCGCATCCGCAAGGTTTTAGATCGATATTGTCAGTACAACCTCAAGCTCAATCGTAGCAAATGTGAATTTGGAGTGAAACAAATAACGATTTTAGGGCACCTTGTTTCTGAAAGAGGAATTGAACCCGATGTGGCGAAATGGAAGCCATCAAAGCTATGCCTCCTCCTAGCAATGTCCCTGACCTTCGATCGTTTCTTGGGACTCGTGGCTACGTTTCTAAATTTATTCCAAGTTATGCCAACATAGTTGAACCGCTCAGAAAGCTTACTCGTAAGGGGGAGAAATGGACATGGGAAAAAGAGCAAGCAAAGGCATTTAAAGCATTGAAAGAAGCGCTGTCAGACGCTGCCCTGACTTATGTAATCACAGACGTCAGTCCAGTTGGTTTAGGTGCAATTTTATTGGAAGACCAAGTCAACAGTGAGCGTAAACCGATTGCCTACATTAGTTGATCACTCACATCGACGGAACAGAGGTATTCACAAATTGAGCGCAAAGCGTTACGTTGCGTATGGGCTGTCGAACGTCTACACAATTATTTGTTTGGCATTAACTTTACTTTGTTGACAGACAACAAGCCTCTTTCTTCTATGTTTGATCCATATTCAAGCAAAGGTTTACCTCCTCGTATCCAGCATTTAGCTTGGAGGTTACATCAGTACAGTTTTCGTATTCAGCATATTGCAGGGAACGCCAACACAGCAGATTTGCTGTCGCGATTGCCATCCAAGCAAAATGATTGTTTAGATACCGGTTTCATTTGTGAAAATTATATACGATTTGTTTACATGTCAAGTACATCAGATCTTCAAGCGGTCACTCTTTCTGACATGAGATGGGAAACTAGCAAAGACGTCACGCTGTCCAAATTACTTGGACAAATTCAACACGGAAAATGGTCACTCGATACTGATCTTGAACCGTATAGCCACATAAAAGACGAATTGTCTATTTTTGAAGGAGTAATTCTTAGAGGGAATTGAATCGTTGTTTCACAGTCTCTATGAAAACAAACTCTATCACTAGCGCACAAGACGCATCAGGCAATTGTAAAGACCAAACAATTTCTTAGAACTCGTTTTCTGGCCCGGTATGGACGATGCAACAGAGAAAATGATCAAAAACTGTCAAGCATGCGTGGTGAATCAACCTTTCAACCCGCTTCAGCCAACGCCTCTACCTCGTGGTCCTTGGGTAAAAGGCGTAGTGGATCTCGTTGGTCCAGTCAACGGAAAGTTCATATTGACCTACATTGATTATTATTCGTCTTATCCGGAAGTGTAGATCCTAAAAGAAATCACTACACATGAAGTCATCAAGGCCCTACCTGATATTTTCACTAGATTTTGGTTTCCAGAGGAACTTGTTTCAGACAACGGAAAACAATTCATCAGTGAAGAATTCAAAGCGTTTCTCAAATCATGTGGAATAAGGCATATTCGTGTTTCTCCATACTATGGGCGAAGTAACGGAAAGTTGGAGAGATTTCACAGATACTTAAAGAAAAATTTCGAGCGGTGATCTCTGAAGGCAAGTCCTGGCAAAAGGAACTACTGAAAATTCTTATGACTTATTGCGCAAGTCTTCATCAAAGTAGTGGCAAATCGCCTAGTATGCTGTCGTTTCATGCGTCCCTGCATAATTTTAGCATTGGCGATGTGTTTTGTGCTAATATGAAGCCCAACAAATTGGACTTGAAATTCTGTTTGGCTAAGCACGTTATCATTGAGACCAAAGTGCGGGACACGTTGAGTCTAGTCAACGTGGACACGGGTACCACCTTGGTTCGCAATGCAAAGTACTTAAAGCATGCGCCTAGTGAGAGCATAGATGATGATGGCGAAGTAGCAATTTCTACCAACTATAAGGAGTCCAACAATTCTAGTGACTCTAGTGTTAAGGATACTGACGCTTGTGACGACGCTGAACCTTCTGGTCATGTTGACGAGCAAGCCTCTCAGAATGAACAGGTCATCACCACTACGTCAGGACGAGTTGTAAAGTCAACTAAGGACTGTGATAATTTTGTACATAATCGACATTAAATTTTGCTGATTTTATATGATCTCGTGATTGGTTAAATGTATCTTTCGAATATTCTTAGAACCCGCCCAGGAAGGATGTAGTGTATTGATTACTATAGTAACAATTATGTACTATTACCAACATCAGTGAAACTACATGTACTAAGTGATATTAAAGCAATACAGCACGAATGTAAAAGTACTGCTACTAAGTGAAAGTAGATTATGATTCGTACTATAAAGATGGTGGTTCAGTTGATAAAGGACATTATGTAGAAAAGCAATGCAAGTGTAAGTATCTCCTTGTCTCATGACTACACCACAACTGCTATAGAGCATGGTGTCTGCCACGAAGAGGTTAGGCAGGTAGCTGAATCTTTAGTTGATAAGGCTACAGTGTCAAACATCAAAGCAAGTGCAAGGGCAGAAATGGACAGTTCTGGCCATAACTTTGATGCAGTTGGAAAATATCGAGGGAATGTGTGTGAGAAGCTTGATGATCATTACCAAATCTACAAAGTTCATAACAACTCATTGGATCCGAGCCGACCCTCCTTTGTTTTTAAGAGCAGTAAAGAGCAGTTGCAGATAGCTGTAGATATGGACAGGCAAGGAAGCAATCCTCTTGGTGAGGAGTACTGTCATCTGGATGGTAATCACAAAAGATGTGCTGGATTCAAAACCATAACATTATGGATGTACCATCCTTTTCTTCGACAAATGTGTTAAATTGCAACCATGGAAGTAGAATTGGAGAATACATTAGCCATGAATTTATTCTGGGAGGTGTTAAATGAAGCCTTTCAGAAATATACCGCCAATCCAACCATCAGATTCAGGCCATATGGTTGGATGATGGATGAGGCTGGAGCTTTCTGGTCTTCCATTGCAAATATCCAAGGAGAAGAATATTTCCAAAGGTCTGTCAGCTGTGAAAAACATTTTGACTTTACTGTGTTGCGACAAGAGAAGACCCTTGTTGGAGGTGAAGTGAAAAGTGAATTTAAGTTCCTCTGTAACTCACTTCAGAAGGCAGAAACTCCCCTAGTAGTTCAGAAAGCATCTGAGGGAATGGATTAATCCATCAAGACACAGTCATCTGAAGTCATGGTGGTCCTGGTGGCAAAAGAGACAAGGCCATGTTTTCTGGGCTTTCAAGCCTCACCACAATGTTCCTAAGGCCAATCATGCAGAGATTGGGCACTCGCAATGGGTAAAGATTGGTGCAGTCAATTTATCCCTTATTGATGCTTGCAGAGAGGATGTTGCGGAAAGTTTTACATTGGGCACTGCTCTTAGAGCCTATGGCTCTGGTCCTTTTAAAGGTGGTGAAGGACCCAGCTCTGCTGATCTGCGGAAGAGAAGGTATGCTGAACAAAACAAGAGAGCAGATGCCTACATTGAAGAACTGGATGAAGTGAACCAGGCATGTCCAGCTGCTTCTATCATAACCAGCCGGGAAACAGATGGTTTTCTTGACCCCACCTCTTCACACCGACGTGATCCTGTAAAGCGACCCACCAAGGGAAACAAGGGCAGAGCTGTGCCATACCAGTCACAGAGACCAAAAGCCTTTATGAGATCCTTGGAGATTGCCAAGAAAACCAAAAATGCCTTTAATGTACTAAAGAAAGAGGTGACAACTGAGAGGGTTGGAACACGCTTGAAGTACTTCACTGGAAAGATCCAGAAGGTCACCATCTCTACCTACCCAGACTGTGCAGACTGTGTCTACTGCACCCGTCAAACTCTTTGCTCTCATATTCTGTGGGTGTATCTTTTTGTGTGCAAGCTGCCAGAAGCAAGTCAAATTTTGCAGCAGAGAGCCCTCACCACAGAGGAAATGGCAGATGTAGTATCCGGCCTTCCCTCTACACCACAGATCTCATCAACAAGTGTGTCAGGACTTGTATGCTCCCCACCAGGAACATCAGCAGGAGTTAGCCCACAGCCCAGTTGCTCAGCAATTAGGAATAGTCAAGTAGGATACTCTAGCTCTTTAACCCCCAGTTCACAGGGTACCCAGTCGAGCAGTGCTACATTCAACAGACCAAGGTGGGAGTTGATACGCTATGAAGGTGTGCGTAAAGGAATTCATCCCCATTGCAGGAACCCCACTTGTAAGGTTTTAATCCAAGATGGTGTACTTCTTATTGTTGCTAATGCCCCTTGGTCCCTACCAAACTTGAATTTGAAAGGGGAAAAGTTTTGTGTTCCATCAAAATTCTACTTCTGTTTAAGCAGTATATGTTGTAAGCATCAGCCCTCAGGAGGTGATGTTTTGCCACCTGATGAAATAACAATAAGTGAAGATCTTCTTCAGGATTTGACACCCAATGAATATGAGCAGCTTTCTAATCTAGGCCTGCCATTCACATGGCAGTAAAACATCAGGCGAGGTGTCAACTTCCATCCAAATTCTGTTTTTTGGTAAGTAGTTTATTTTGTAAGCGGCAAAATTCCTTTAAGGGCAACGTCATTCGTCCAAATTTAGGCCTGTTACTCACCTGGTCACTGTTACATAGATCGCAAACTACGCAGAAATGAAGCATAAAACTTCGATACCAGGCATTTTTATGCAATTAATGACGGGCCGCTGTCAAAGATACAAACATCCAGTTCAGCATTAGTTCATGCAGGCCAGTTCAACACTAGTCATGTTAGGTTTTTCTGCAAAATTAGAAGTATGTATTGGGTACAAAATGCCAAGATTTCTAATCTTACCAACTGTTTTGGAGCACAACACCAAAGCTAAAAATAAATTCCAAGTATTGATAAATTCTGTTTCAGGACCCAAAACTTGCTACAAAACTACCATTCAAACTCCAAATAGCAATTTGAGAATCGAAAAATTCTTAGGTCATGTGACCAAGGGCCACATGGCGATGGGTCCACAATAAGAATTGCTGGCTGCCGCTATTTTGATGGGCAATGCTAGCTGATGTTAGGGCCCTATTTCAAGTCTTTTGCAAAAAAGGGCTTAGTTGTTTTAAAATTATTTTCAGTAGTTACTATCAGTTTAAGACCATTGCAAAGTTTGTAGACAGGTGGAAAGGTACATGTACAGAGTCCTGGTTAGGACGTGCAAGTTCGCATTAATGAGCTGTCGTCATGAAGCATAATAAATAGCAAACTGGGAAATTATTTCTCTGTGCACGTACCTTACATGTGCAAACGTCCAAAAGTATGACCATATGCCAGCTGAATAGCAGCATGTATTACTGTTGAGTTTTTGTGTCAGAGGACCGTAATCAAACTTAATATACCTTGTGGACAAAAGTTGTGTTAGTAGGTGGTCACGCGCAGGTTAGCTGTTGTTACAGCTGTACCACACCATAGACAGCAATCAAACCTGAATCAGTTTAACAGTTGAAGGATTGTTCTTGTACAGGCTTTAAGGGAGGTTAGAGTGCTTTGGAGAGGTTGCATATACCACTCAGAAATGATACATGTGAAAGGTTTTGCTGAGAATGAATGCTAATTGATGAGAAAATTGCAAACTCTCCGCCCGCTCTCTGACCCCTCCCCCAGTTGATTTTGTTTCTTTCATTAATGGCCTTGCCATGACTTTCCAGCAAGATGAGATACACCAGCTCCAATTAAAATCTTGTTTCAATTTTAAGGTTACTAAGGGTCTGCCAATCTAGTACAAGTTGGGGCTAAGTTACAATGATGATTTACGTCACCATACGAAGGGTAAACTATAAACCCTCCATAGTTTTGCCTGCCAGCTTTGTGCTGTCGAGATGAATGACAAGGAGGTTAATGAATCTTTAAATGTGGTTTTAAATGTATTAATTGGAAAAATCTGTTCCAAGGTTGTTGACTATGTTTCTTTGTTTTGGAAGCAAACATTGCACTTTGATAAGTTTCTTATTGGTGTGGAAATTTTAATGTGGAGCGACTGTTTGCTTGACATTTAAGGTTACAGTTTTCAATAAAAAGTTTTTTTTTAAATCACTATTTGAGAAATTATTTCTTGATAACATAAGGGCAGGGGTGACTTTCAAAACTCTTTCCCAAGCGGATGCAGTACAATCTTACTTTGTCAATCTTGCTCACGTTTTCGAGATATAAATCAGTTCTGGGATTCACATGGTGCATGCTGTTTCTTGTCCACCCATTTTTGTGCACTCATGCTGTATTTTATAGGACATCCATTGCTCTCAACCGAAAGAGTATCGAAGGATAGGTTAGTCAGTCAGTTGCAAAGACGGAAGAAGATTGATGGACCTTATAGTGACATTATTAATAAAGTTACTGTTGATTGTTGATACCCTCCCTTTGGCTGCCATTCTGAAATGACCCTGTATCTGTACAAATCATATTATAACTTAAATGCACCCGAAAAAACAAACAGATAATGAATACCAAGGCATTTTTCTTCCTGATAATGGGAAATCTCGGTCAATGGAGGACAAAAGTTGATAAAACTACTAAGACTGTATACGACAAAGCAGTGGCGTGGGGAACAAGTTGCAAGGATGAAAAAGAGTGATTTACGGTTAGGGTTTCCCCTTTCCAATTTACACCAGCGTGACAAACTAGTAACTTACCGATACATATATAAAAGTACTTTCCTTGGCACTCGCGACCGATTTTTGTAGCTACTGCGCATGCACGAGTAGCTACAATGCTATCGTTTTGATGGATAGAGTCGATTTTATGAGGGCTTTCGGAGACCTTCGGATCACGATCGATTTTCTTGGCGCACGATAATGCCGTAGTCAGTTTGATAAGCATCCAATTTCAATAGACTTTACAGGTTATAAAAACACAAACAAACTTATTGTTTAGAGCTTTTCTTACTTTGAATCTGGTAGTACATCTTTTTGTGTCAAAAACATAAATACTAGTGTAACAAGCGGATTCACCGACCACTTTCCGTAAAAGTGCGATCTCCTTCCGTAAAAATATCGACTGTGAAACGTTTTCCAACGTTGCATTTCTCCTCGTATTCCCTACCGCGAATGGTGAATGCTCTACGTCTTGTCAACAAAAGGTAAGATTTCCCATGTTTTCTTGTTATTTTCCGCGTATTATTAGGCAAAGCATTCAAGTTTTATGTCCAGTGTTTTCTCGTAAAGTGTTTTTCGGGGGTGTTGAAGGTTCAAACAAAGTTTGGACTTCAAAAACATCGCTGAGTGTGAGTCGCCAAGACTTTGTCGAACATGTCGGCCAAGTGATTTCTGCAGCCAAACAGCCCGAAATACTGCATGTACCGCTCGTGGCAACCAATGACCTGTTATCAGAATCGCCTAATTCCATCTTTGGAACTAGCTTTTTCCTTCGGGAAACGATGAATTCCCTCCCGGGAACCAATAAACTTGCCTTTACAGAGAGTGGTATGAGATTGTTTTTGTATCTCATTAAAAACAAACCGGACACCAGTTACACAAGAGTTATATCTTGATGTGGAAACTATGCCTCATGTTTATGTTATTGTTAACCGCATCTATGGCAGATTATGATTGTACCTCATGAACAGCAAATCGGACGCCACTTACACAAGGACTTATCTCTTGATGAGAAAACAATGCCTCATGTTTATGTTATTGTTAGCCGCATCTGAGCGCGCTGAGAAAAATCCATTGAAAATAAGATTTCGAAAAGATATTGTTGAGTCATACAAACCTATTGTTTGGGCTGAGCCCCGACCAATTTCCATATTGCAGAATGTCAGTCATTTGTCAAATAACCACTTATTTTTACCTCACATGCTCCTTTGCGATCTGGGTGTGTACACTTGAGTCGCGACAACCTTAGATGAAATAGCTGTATAAAGCTAATTCAGAAAAGGTTGTTGTTAACATAGTTTTTTGGACTATGCTAGGAACTCACAGTTAAGAAATTTGCGGTAGCCTTGTACACGCCCAACAGGTAACTTGAATAGTAGATAAACCTCAACTTTAATTAAGTAGTTTAGTTTTACGCGAGATCTGAATTGGACATGTTCCATGTGATTTACTGCTTACCTGTTAAACTGTTTCATGGTTATCCCGATCAAGGAAAGTTAAGAAAACTCGCCATAGAAGTTTAAGATCAATGTTATAATATTGTCAATCATTTTAGTTTTGTTAGTTTTATATTAATTTCATGAGTTTTGGATATTGACGATCAGCGACCCCATGGCATAAATGACTGTTAAAAGTTTCTATAATATCAGTTACTCCTGCTTCGCTCGTTTTAATTGTTTTGTTTATTACCAATTTATTTAGTTAATTAGAATACATTGTACATTTTAATTTCAGATCGAATAAATATATTATCAGTTATACGATTGCAAGTATTCTTTGGTAGTGGATCGTCTTAGTTCCCTTACNCGATTTCCTTTCGATTACCCCTCTCCACCAATCAGAAGGCTGCTAGAACAATGGGGACCCAACAGACTACCAATGCTGCTAGCCGCATCTGAGCGCGCTGAGAAAAATCCATTGAAAATAAGATTTCGAAAAGATATTGTTGAGTCATACAAACCTATTGTTTGGGCTGAGCCCCGACCAATTTCCATATTGCAGAATGTCAGTCATTTGTCAAATAACCACTTATTTTTACCTCACATGCTCCTTTGCGATCTGGGTGTGTACACTTGAGTCGCGACAACCTTAGATGAAATAGCTGTATAAAGCTAATTCAGAAAAGGTTGTTGTTAACATAGTTTTTTGGACTATGCTAGGAACTCACAGTTAAGAAATTTGCGGTAGCCTTGTACACGCCTAACAGGTAACTTGAATAGTAGATAAACCTCAACTTTAATTAAGTAGTTTAGTTTTACGCGAGATCTGAATTGGACATGTTCCATGTGATTTACTGCTTACCTGTTAAACTGTTTCATGGTTATCCCGATCAAGGAAAGTTAAGAAAACTCGCCATAGAAGTTTAAGATCAATGTTATAATATTGTCAATCATTTTAGTTTTGTTAGTTTTATATTAATTTCATGAGTTTTGGATATTGACGATCAGCGACCCCATGGCATAAATGACTGTTAAAAGTTTCTATAATATCAGTTACTCCTGCTTCGCTCGTTTTAATTGTTTTGTTTATTACCAATTTATTTAGTTAATTAGAATACATTGTACATTTTAATTTCAGATCGAATAAATATATTATCAGTTATACGATTGCAAGTATTCTTTGGTAGTGGATCGTCTTAGTTCCCTTACGAAACATCATTCGATTTCTGGCTAACCAAGATAAGTAACAAATTCAAGACAATAAACAATGGCTGAGACACAAGAAAACACTATCAAACAGGCCAAGATAAAACGGAGAAACTGCAAGGGTGCACTAACCCGTCAAGAAAAAGTTGTTTGTCATAAATTATCTGCAAATTGGCCAGGGAAGAAATTAGAAAGGAACTGAAAAAATATGAACTGGCATTCGAAGATTTATCATCAAAACACAAG